CGAAATCAAAAGATACGGCATTTATATCGCATATTTTGACATTCGCAAAGGGAATCAAAATCTATAGGGCACTTCCCGTTGACCTAGAATCATGAAATTTGGCAAGAAACAACGTCGTGTAGCACAAGTAAAGGAAAAAATGCGAAAACCGTACATGTGTAGTTATTTTCTAAATTTTTTTTTTAATTTCATGTTTTTATACGGAATCTTTGTTGCGTGAGTCCGACTCACACTTGACCGGCGTTATTTTTTATTCTCTATTATACACAATATATATTAGGTTAAGAATAATTAATTTTAAATGTAATGTACAATGGCAAGTTTATTTCTAATAAATTTATTTCTAAAAAAATCTAGTGATATGATAAAATACTTACACTAATACGTCATTTTACTAAACTAAATAAAATAAAAAGGTGTTATAATTTTCTAATATCATTGTTTACGAACCAAATTTATTTAGAGCAAAATTCTCAAAATTCCAAACCGTGCAGTTTCTAACCAGAATTCTCTCCGCAACTACAATGATTCCCTTTTCCCCACATAAATCTTTCATTCCTTTTCTATCAACTTCCTTTACTCATTTTAAAATTCTCCCTCCTCTTTCTACGATACTTTCCTCTATGGCGTATATCACCAATTGACGGATATCACCAAAAATACCTAGTAAGGGGAATGGATTTTTATTAATGCAGATTACCAGTTCCATTGCTAGTAATATACCTTGTCAGGTCGACCTCCACGTCTCTCCCCCTTCGGAAACTATCGTGTTGAATTCCGGGCGTATTAATCACGATGGGCTAACAGACCTGCCTTTTCATTCTCACATATTATCCCTCACTGGTGCCCCGCCATCGTATAGCGTTAGCGCAGGCGGGGTTACCGTTTTATTATCATCCATTTAAAAAAAAAGTCAAGCGGGCGGCCGGACGTAAAATTAAAAGCTAGAAACATAGGTAATATGGATAAAAACATATTACGTCCACATCAAATATTAATATAATTGGAGTAAGGGCAAGGAGACGATGATGACTTACATCTTCAATGATTACACGATCTCTAGGCATTTCTCGAAATGCCTAATATCCGCAATTCCCTGCTACATATCTATATAGAGCTGCTAGATTTAACACGTGTTTTATGTAGGGATGGGGATACCAAATTACGATCGTTGGAAATGTGCCAAGCGAGCTTTATTGAGACGGAACAAGTATTAAATTGCGTGGTTGTACAATACGTAATCTCATATTTAGATTGAGTACCTGATTGATCTTAGAATCAAGGAGCACTTATCAGATCAGCTTAGTAGAGTGAGACGGTAGACGCCGGTATATCGCATGCATTACCATTTTTTTTTATGGGTGATTATGATATGGTAACACCGCCTGCGCTAACGGGATACGCTGGCGGAGCACCAGTGAAGGGTGATAGATGAGAATGAAAACAGGCCAGTTAGACCATCATGATGAATTCATCGGGAATTAACCATGATAGTTTCCAGGAAAAACCGCTAGGAGGTCGACCTGGTTGGGTATATTGCTAGCAATGGGATTCTCAGCCTTCATTACTAACAATGCCTTTCCCTTCTGCATTACCATATTGTTCCAGCATAAAATAAACCATCCCTTCCTTTCTCGTGGATGTCATAAGAAACGACTAAGGAAATTTAACGGCCGTAAGGCAGCAGCGTCTCTTTTAAAGTATTATCAAAGCCTAGCTACGGTCGGACTTGAGCTTCGTACAGTTGCATACGATATACATCATCATATGAATCGTTAACTGTCCACTGCTGGACGTAGGCCTCCCCTTAATATAGGGGTTTCCCAGTAATAGCCACTTTTGGCAGGCGGATTGGCAACCGCAGTTATGCCTTGGTGATGTTTTAAAAGGGGCGTTGCTGCCCATTCCTCGACTAATAAGTTCCCTTAGTCGTCTCTTCAACACCCATGAGAAAGGAAGGGGGGACCTATTCCCTATGCAAAGACAATACGCAAATATATATCACAACTATAGATAAATAGATAGTACTCTTTATTGTTTCCTCCAAAAGATTACAATAGTAAACTTATTATAAATAATAATTACAAGAAATAATCACAGTGAGAAAACAATAGGCGACCTTATCGCTAAGAGCGATCTCTTCCAGGCAAGCTTTGGATGGAGAGGAGTAATTATAAACAATTTGGTGGGAGGCGCGATGAAAAATTCTGTTAGTTCTAAATATGGGAGATGTGATACATATAATAATATAACACCCAATATTCTTCTAGATTATACTACAAAATCCTTATAGTTGTATATACTACTTTGGTGGCAAACATACGGCCCGTCCAATAAACGGGAATACCGTAATCTATAGACGCTTCTAATACCAGGGATGACGCGCACGTTGCCGACCCTTAAGTAATCTTAATACGTCCTTTTTGAAGAACCCCATGCTGTAGTCTTTAGGGAAAGCCTCAGCAGGAAGATCAAATCCACAACTCGACTGAATGAAGAAAGATAGGCAATCATTCTTATAGGGAACATGCCTTATTCGAGTTTTGCCAGTAGTTGCTAAGCTCGGCAGAACGATTGGAGACCAAAGTTAGGCTTTAGAGATGCTTATCTAATAATAAACAAATTATGATAAAGTTAATAACATGTGCTAAATGATAAACATCAACATTTCATGTAAATAACAATTATAAAACCATGCAATACTTCTATTATATGAGGGAGACTAAGTGCAAAATCCTTGGATACCTATGTCCCATTCGTGTTTCTACCGTGAAGCAGTTGTGTTTGCATGGTTGTGTTTCGGTTTGAAGGGCGTGAATTTACAGGGTACAGAGGAATAACACCTAAGTCCTCAGGAATGGCAACGCATGGGGAGTATCATGTGCGAAACAGTATACTCTGTCATGTCCATGGTACTGCTCATGTCTATAGGCGACGGTTACCACTTTCCATCAGGTGGGCCGCTAGCTTTTTTGCCATTCTAAGTTGTATAAAAAAAAATTTACTGTCCACTACTGAACTTAAGCCTCCCTCTTGGGGAGTTTGGCCAGTAGTTGATATGCTCGGTAGAAGAATTGGCAACCGAAGTTAGGTTTTAGACGTGTTTTAAGAGGGACGCTGCTGCCCATCCGTCGCCCTCCCTTAGTCGCCTCTTACGACACCCACGAGAAAGGAAAGGGGTGGCCCATTCTATGCCGGGATTACACGGTGAGGGATAACAGTAGTAACCATAATTTTTGGTGATTGCTTGATGATGATGATGATGCTGATGATGATGATGATGATGACGACGATGTTGTTACTTTATACAACTTTTTTTATGCCATTTTTTTATGTCAAAAGGGGGGTAAAGAGGTTCTTCAGGGTCGACAACGCGCGCGTTATACCTCTGGTATTGCAGGCGTTCATAGGCTACGGTAACCGCTTACCATCAGGTGGGCCGTATGCTTGTTTGCCACCTCAGTGTATAAAAAAAAATTGCGTAGGCTAACGATAAACAATTATAAAATCCACTGCGTTATATTACTTAGAATGATTGTATTGTATATTTATATAATGGCTTTCTTTCTAATGAATAAGTCGTAGGCGAGCGTCAAGCCCAGACGACGGCCGAGCTCTTCGTACATTGTACGAGTATAATTATGTACAGACCTTGCGCAGAGCGCGGAACTTTTATATTAGTTATTTTTTTTTTTTTTTTTATTAACGCTTTTTCTTCTCTAAAATTAGAACAGAATTTTTTTATTTAATATAAAGGACCTGTTAAATTTAGATTTTTTTCGTCTGCATTATGCTTGCAAATTGAATTTTTATTATATTTTTATTCTTAATTATTAATTAATTGATTTTTTATTTTATTTTCTAAAATAAAATTTTATTATAAACATACACTAGAAGGAGACTTTGTACAAAAGTCATTTGCTTGGGCACCTCTGTCCTACTCGTGGCTCTACCCTGAAGCAGTTGTGTTCGCATGGCTGTGTTTCGCTTTGAAGGGTGAGATATGGCAGTGAATTTACAGGATACAGAGGAATAACACCTGAGTCCTCAGGAATGGCAACGCATGGGGGGTATCATGGGCGAAATAGTATACTCTGTCATGTCGATAGTACTGCTCATGTCTATAGGCGACGGATACCACTTTCCATCAGATGGGCCGTCAGCTTGTTTGCCATTTTATGTTGCATAAAAAAATTTAATTTTATCATTTATGCTTTGTTGACATTATTTACAAAATCTATTCGCTTAACTTATAATAACGAAAAACCATAAATTTTAATATTACTTAAAATAATTTATTAAAGTAACATCGATTCCTATAAAAGCTCGTACTTGTAGAGACTAGTTTAATGGACAGCGTCCCTCTTAAAATATCACCAAAGGTCTAACTGTGATTGTAACACGCCTGCCAAGCGTGACAACTACTGGCAAAGGGCCTCCCCTATAAATGGGGCCTTTTAGGGGTAGTAAAGGGTAGAAATATTCATTAGTGGACAGTTAACAGCTTATATTATGAATAAACACCTTCCACAAAAAATGTTGATTATCTGTCACGCCTGTCTCCCATTAGGGTAGGCAGAAACAATGGAACGCCAAATGCTTCGATTCAAACAAACCTCTTTCGCTTCTTCCACATTCATCAATCTTTCCATACACGGTCGCCGGTTACGGGTACTTTTAATTTGGCCCTTCTGCAGCACGTCGCCTATTTGGTCGACATACGTCCGTCTAGGGCGGTCCCTACCGACATCTCCATTCATTCTTGCTCGATAAATCTCTTTCGTCATTCTTCTTTCATCCGTCCTCTCCAAATGACCAAACCAACTATATATCTATCTTTCTCAAGAAATAAGCTATTAGATAAAGAAAGAAAAACGTCTCAAATCCTAGTTCAAATCAGATTAGTGCGTACAAACAAACAAATAATATCTTTATTTATTAGTAAAGATAAAGGTTGACATTACGAATGTCTAACAATATATGTTTTTTTTATTTCACAGAAGCTCTAAAACTGTACGGAGACAGACTGACAGAATGGGAGAGGAATGAAATCAGAAAATATCCCGAGGTGTGGTTTCTGGGCCTGGAGGCGAACAAGATCCAAGCGAAGTCGAATCTACCAAATAACTGCGGTTTCGACGACGAATACGGCAGTTACAATAAAGTAAGACATTTATATATATATGTATATGTGAAACCAGAGGGAGACTTTGTACAAAAGTCATTTGCTTGGGCACCTACGTATTTGACGGTTGAGTGCATAAATTTGTTATTCACAAATTATTGACATATTAAACATTTTCTAAACACTAGCCTGCTATGAATTGAGAAAAATAGCAACTGATGGTATATCTTTCGCCCTCTTTTTATGGATTATATTTGCATAAGAAGAAACGAGGCAACCATATGATTTACAGTTTTTATTTTATCATTCCTTCTATGTAATTCCTTGTTCTTAGTATTGACCTGTATAAACTGTGATAGCTACATAATGTCAAAAGAAATGTCATAGTAAATTTTCAAGTATATCGGTGGAAGTTTTATCGTGATCCTGATAGTCAGGCTTCCCCGCGAAAGTTCATTAGACGCGGGCGGGTGTTACCCTTATAACTTCATAAGTTTCGGGAAACAAGGTCAATCGCCTCGACTACAAAAATCTGTGGGGAAACTATGTTAGTGTTGGCAGCTAGCTATTCGCGTGATACTCGATTAACTATAAAAACCTTTGTAGAATATTCTTATTTAAAGTTCTTCCAAAAATTAATTCTAAAATAAATATAACAATAGCCAAAAATTTTGATAATTTTATCAACCGACTTTAAAAAGAAGGAGATTGTCTATTCGCTTGTATTTCTTTTATGTTTGTTACCTCATAACTCTGTCAGTTGTAAACCAATTTGGAAAATTCTTTTTTTTTAATCTGGATACCATTTCATTATCAGATTGGTCCCATAGAAATTCTATCAAAATTGGTGCAGTTATTAAATCAAAATCACTGGTATTGCCACAACTAAAGTCGGTTTCATTTTATAGAATGCAGTCTTAATTATTTTTAAACAAACTCTAAAATGGAGGTTTTTTTATTTTTATGCTTTTTTATGTTATGCGATCGTATTATCAATTCAGTACCGATTTTAATAAGATCTTTTCATAATAGATAGGGTTTCCTTCTGTTGTTTCCATATTAAGGAATCCAGAGGGAGACTTTGTACAAAAGTCGATTGCTTGGGTACCTCTGTCCCATTCGTGTTTCAACCGTGAAGCAGTTGTGTTTGCATGGCTGTGTTTCGATTTGAAGGATGGGATATGGCGTGAATTTACTGGGTACAGAGGAATAACACCTAAGTCTTCAGGAGTGGCAACGCATGGGGGGTATCATGGGCGAAACAGTATATTCTGTTATATCCATGGTACTGCTCATGTCTATAGGCAACGATTACTACTTTCCATCAGGTGGGCCGTCAGCTTGTTTGCCATTCTAAGTCGCATAAAATATATATATATATATATATATATATATATATATTATGTTATCCAAATTACACATTATTTATATTATTTTTATATATTTGATATAATTGAATTAGCCATTTTTCTTTGCGGAGCAGAAAATAGCTTGTTGCGAAGTAAACCTACACGTCGCAACTACAGTTCCGCGCTATTAGTTAAAATATTTTTAACCTCATGCACTTATAAAACATCTCGTCGTTCCTAGATGTAATTTCTCGTGATTAAAGTGGCTGTTTTTAAACGAAACAAATGATAAAATGAACTTATTACTATTCAAATATGAATTACTTTGATAATGTTATTGATGCTTTGATATTGCGACATTTCGGGGATGCCTTAGACCGTGTAATTTATATTCTCTTATTGCTAGACGCACGTTTGTTTAATGTACACATAATGAAATACTTAATTTAAATTGACTTTAGACATTGTCTTTGACTTTGGTCTGTTATTTAAATCAAATTAGGTAGGCGATCCCTCACGAGATGGAGCGACGTCCCACACGAGCTAAATATATTAATGTTTTCCAAAAAAAACGAACTAGTTTGTTACAATAGACTTTATTTTTATTAAGTTCAGTAAATAAATGAATAATTAACTCGACCATGTAATTGGCTGCTGAAATTGAATATTAATACAGACAAACAAACTGGCTTTTACACATAAATTGAATTTCTATTTCTTAAAAAAAGTTCGATTTATAAACTTTATTCCCTTTTTTTCATCACTTTTCCTTTAAACTTAATCTTGCTGGTTACTCTGTTTGAGTTATAGATTGTTATTTGTTCTTCTAATATCATTAATTGTTAGTTATTTATACATGTATTTATTATATGTATACCTTTATTTATTTAACATATTATCTAATATCATAATATATTATTTATAGAATAGAATAGAATTTTATTGCTATAATAGCTGTAAATAAACTATTATAATATATATATATATATATATATATATATATATATATATATATATATATATATATATATATATATATATATATATATATATATTATAATAGTTTATTTACAGGTATATAATTAAGTATTACTATATTGTATATATATATATGATTTATGTATGTATATTTTTAGTAGGTATATTATTCTATATGTTTATATCTTGATTTATCTTAAATTCTTGTTATCTCTCAAAATATTTATTTAATTTACAATTTTCTTTTAAATCTATGCACCGCCATTTACTTTTTCTCTCTCTGTTTAGGGTAACGTTTGAATGGTAGATAAATAAATAACTTATTTTATATGTTTATTTTTCCTATTCCTATTTCTCAGTTTGTCCAATGGTTGACTGGTAGAGAACACCGTCCGGTGTTAAGTTCGCCATATGTACATAGAGTTTGAAACAGTCTGTTATGTCCATGATACTGCTCATGTCTATAGGCGACGGTTACCACTTTCCATCAGGTGGGCCGTCAGCTTGTTAGCCATTCTAAGTTGTATAAAAAAAAAAGAAATTCTGATAATAATAATAGTAGACAGTCTTCGAATGTTGGCAGTTGCACACATACTGTCTAATGGTAGCGGAATTAAACAAAATATTTCAAATCAAATAACCAGTTATCAAAATGGGTTTTCCGTCCAATTATCATAAGATTGAGAAAATCTGGGTCATCGTGTAACACTCGTATCTTGTGATGATCCATCACTAGTTACATGCGAGGAAGGTTACAAAATACTAGTATGTTATGTCATAGATACTTTGACATAATATAACTATGGTTTGTGTGCCTTTTGTTTTTTCTAATATGGCGTTCTAGACCTTAACTATATTTTCATATACGTAGTTCATCTCTGATTTACAATAGTTATTTAAAAATAACAGACAAAAATAGTTACATATCATATATGTAACGTGCGTGTATATAAATGTTACACACATTTTTAAATATAGGTGAAACTCTGCTCCCTAAATAGGTAAATCTTGTACTTTATGATAAGCAGTGCTCTTCCCTATACAGCATAATGACACAATATATATATATATATATATATATATATATATATATATATATATATATATATATATATATATATATATATATATATATATATATATATATATATATATATATATATATAAAGAAACAGTAAAACTTAAGGTACTAATACAATAATATAAATAAGTATGATACAAAACAGAACCTAGATTCATAGTAATTTTCAACAAAAGGGCTTAAAAATGATTCTATTGTACTTAGCCCGGTTTAGTTTCCCCCTTTGTCCCTAAATCCCGTTCAGCTCGCTCTAGATAAGTACAGTCTGAATAAAACTATCCAAAGCTTGAGTTTAAGCAATTATCTTCAATTATATTTCAATTGAACGAAGCTTTAAATCCAGCATATTACGACACAGTTAATATATTTTGAAATGGGTATGCCGTTTTCTTTCAATATTTTATTATTATTTTTTTAAAATCTTTGCTTGTTTTATAATTAGGTACCATTGAATTGAATATACAGATATATTAAATTTTAAATATAGAATAGTTTTAAAACTTTATTGTCATTAGTAAAATTCCTTCAGTACCTAAAAAACCTGCAATACCCTGTAAATTCACTGCCGTATCCCCCCACCCTTCAAACCGAAACACCGACATGCAAACACAACTGCTTCACAGTAGAAACACGAATAAATAAATATGACGGTTAATTAGTTTTTTTGTTACCTCACCTTAACTACCAATGTCAATGAATATATTCTGATCACACAGACGAAGTCCCGGGCAACAGCTAGTATATTTACAACCGTCACAATTTATTTTAATTTTTTTAATTTGTTCTCAGCAAATCCACGACCACATAGCATACCGATATGAGATTCTAGAAGTAATCGGCAAAGGTTCCTTTGGCCAAGTAATCAGAGCGTTGGACCACCGCACCGGCAGTCAGGTGGCCATCAAGATTATCAGGAACAAGAAGCGGTTCCACCACCAGGCCCTAGTCGAGGTCAGAGTGCTGGATCACCTCAGGCTGAAGGACAAGGATCAATCGCACAACGTGATACACATGCTCGATTACTTCTACTTTAGGAACCACTTGTGCATCAGTTTCGAGCTTATGAGGTAAGTGTCTACACATTTTTAGGTCTATATAATAATTATATAAAAAAAAAATACATTATTAGTATTATTCTTTAAAAAGAGCTTTATAATATTAACGAATTTACAGAGTACAGAGGAATAACACCTGAGTCCTCAGGAATGGCAACGCATGTGAGGTATCATGGGCGAAATATATATACTCTGTTTTGTCTATGATATTGCTCATGTCTATAGGCGACGGTTACCACTTTGCATCAGGTGGGCCGTCAGCTTGTTTGCCATTCTAAGTTGAATAAAAAAAAGTATTATTTATAATAGAAAATGTATAATAATATATATATCCCGGCGGGGGGGGGGGGGCGCCTCCACGAGATGGAGTGACGACTTCAAATACATTGCAGGGAGTGGATGCAGGTGACTCAGGACCGTTCCTTATGAGTCTATGGGGGAGGCCTGTGTCCAGCAGTGGACGAATAATAGCTGAAATAATGATGATGGTACAGTTATATGGCATCATTCAGTTTATGCTACAAAAAAATCAATCAGTTTGCATAATAAACCTATTTTATAATGATAATATAAACATTTACATTTACAGGCACCCCTTCCTATCCCCACCACGCAAGCCACCCCTTCCTATCCCGTGGGTGTCGTAAGAGCCGACTAGGGGAGGACGAGGGATGGGTAGCAGCGTCACTCTTAAAACATCTCTAAAGCCAGACTGCGGTTGCCAGTCCGCTTGCCAAGCGTGGCAACTAATAGCATAACCTACTAGGGGGAGGCTTATGTTCAGCAGTGGACAGTTAAAGGCTGATATGATAATGATATAGACATATAGCATTTTTTATGATATTTCTAATAAGTATCCATACTATTCCATTAGGAATTATAATAGTAAACATATTATTTTGTAAATATAAACTTTCTCCATTACTCCAGCATCAATTTATACGAGCTGATCAAGAAGAACAACTACCAAGGGTTCAGCTTGAGCCTGATCAGGCGGTTTGCGAGTTCACTGCTCCGGTGCTTGAGGCTACTTGAGGCAGAAAATATTATACACTGCGATTTGAAACCTGTAAGCATTACGCTATCATTTCACTCGTTAATTGTTTACTACTAAAAACGAGCTGGTAATTACCACAAAGTTTGAACCTGAGTCACTTTTTTATGCTAATTATAATGGTGATAAAGAATCGTACAGTCTGCATGTTGCTGATCCTGAAGGAAACTTAATACGCTCTTTCTAAAGATCCCCATAGCACAGTTTAAAGAGAAAGTTTTTTTAGATTGTGGCCATATTATGGTTTTTAGAAAAAAAAATTGCAATAAGCCCATTTCACATTCTTAGAATTTGCGAAAGAAATTTCGTCTAAAATTCTAAGCTGTAAGAATGAATTTCTTGTCGACAACGAGTGGTCCAAATATAAAACGTAGTTACGAATTTAAAACAAAAAATTCCTCAGTATACGTAATAAGACAAAGCCTGCAATTTTACTTCCATGTTCTTCTCTTTAAACCGAAGCACTCTGCTTGCTGGTAAAAACACAAGTGGAACAAAGATATCCATGCTTTTGATTTATTTAGATTATTTCATTAATGTCGGTGTAAACTTTTAGGAAAACATCCTCTTGAAGGCCCGAGGTAGTTCTTCCATCAAAGTGATAGACTTTGGCAGCTCGTGTTACACGCACGCGAGGGTCTATACCTATATCCAGTCGCGGTTCTACAGGAGTCCTGAGGTCATACTTGGACTGCAGTATGGGACCCCAATCGATATGTGGAGTATGGGTGAGTGGACAGTTTGTCACTGAAAATTATTATTTTTTACAGATGACTATGGATAGAAACATATTACACCGATCCCAAATGATAATCAGGATAAGGGTAGGAAGACGATGATGAAATGCTAACTCCGTATGCGCTATTGGAGTACGTTAAAAAGATCATAATTTATGGATGATATGTGAGGATAAAATCAGAAGAGTCAGCCCATCGTGACGATTTCACCAGGAATCAACCAGCATGGTTTCCAGGGAGACCGCGTAGAGATCTGTCTAGATATGTTACTAGCTATGTCTAGCTAGTTGCTACACCCCATTACAAATAACCCTTCCCCCACCACATTTGATTTTGGTACAAATGTATGTTGGTATTGTTGGTGGCTAGTAGAGTTTAAATTTTACCTTTTTTAGGTTTAGGTTTTTTACTGGATGAAAATGGAATGGTAACCCCGCCTGCACTAACGGGATACGCTGGCGGAGCACCAGTGAAGGGTGATAGATGAGAATGAAAACAGGCCAGTTAGCCCATCATGATAAATTCATCTGGAATTAACCATGATAGTTTCAAGGGGGAACCGCGAGGAGATCAACCTGGTTGGGTATATTGCTAGCAATGGGATTCTTAGTCTCCATTACTAACAATCCCTTTCCCCCTAGGTTTAGGTACCTACTGCTTGCTGTTTTCTATTTTCAAGAGAATGAAAGTTTTCTACAATACAACTTCTAGAATCTGTATGAAATCAAAATAATAGTATGTTATTAATATGTCAATTTTTATAGAATAGCAATGTCAGATAATATTTCTTTCTAAAAGTGTTGGGTTTACAAAATATTACATAAACTTCGTAAAAATACCTCCTTATTTATGAATAAATAAGTATATTGTGAACACCTCGTGTATTTCTAAAACTTCTTACTCACGATTATTCCGAGAACTTTCAGAAAATTATACGAATAAAGTGTGAACCTAAATATTTTACACATCAAATGCCAACATAACAACAAGGTGACCCGCTAAATCTTTGAATCTACAAATCATTCTTTATCCTTATCTAAAAAAGGCAGTTGGACAGAGACGCATAATGTTAATGGAGTAAGAATTGACTGATTATGTGGAAGCTGGTAATGCGTCTACGACCCATAGTTGCGTAACCTATGAGTTTGTAGAAAGCGGTCAGGAGAAAGGTGACCCACCGCTCACATGCGCAGCCACCGCGCACTGCGACCGGTTTGCTCCACCTCTGGCGAATATTGACAATTACAATGATATCTTGTTTTTACGCAATGTAATCACAAATATTCTATGTAGCCATAGCAAGTCTCTTACAGGATAGGCAGATATACATATGGTTTTTTTTTAATGGATAATAATGGAATGGTAACCTCACCCGCGCTATCGGTATGCACCGGCGGGGCACCAGTGAAGGATGATAGGTGAGGATGAAGCATGTCAGTTAGTCCATCGTGACGAATTCAACAAGAATTGTTCACGATGGTTTCCAGAGGGAACCAAGTAGAGGTTGACCTGATAGAGCATATTGCTAGCAACGGGGCTGTCAAACTCCATTACTAACAATCCTTTCCCCCCCTGATAAATTGTTTAAGAAGGTATAAGAAGGAAATATTTTACGCAACCGGTTAATTTATAGTCTAATCGATATTTCCACTAAATACACGTTTTGATTAATAGTAAAATCTATTAAATTATACTGCACGTAATAAACAAAATACGTAAATTCATAAAAACAATTAACAAAAAAAAACTTTGACAGCTGACCGGTACACACCTATGGTAACGACAATGTTTGCAAACAATATAGCACAAAAATGCATATAAACAATAATTGACGTTATTGAATTATAGATTTTTTTTATACAACTTAGAATGGCAAACAAACTGACAGCCCACGGCTTTGGAAAGTGGTAACCGTCGCTTATAGACATGAGCAGTACCATGGACATAACAGAGTATACTGTTTCGCCCATGATACTTCCCATACGTTGCCATTCCTGAGGACTCAGGTGTTATTCCTCCGTACCCAGTAAATTCACGCCATATTCCACCCTTCAAACCGAAACACAGCCATGCAAACACAACTGCTTTACGGTTGAAACATGAGTGGGACAGAGGTACCCAAGCAATCGACTTTTGTACAAAGTCTCCCTCTGGTAAATCGGACTAATATTGTCGATATCGAAATGAGTGTAGTCAGTGTCCAGAAGAACACAATATATAGATATCAGATATTATCTAATTCTCGATATCGAAATGGATGTCCAGACGAACTCAACATTTCAACATATCGGATGTTACCTATTCCTACCAAGAACGAGAACCATCTCGATCACGTCAGCTTTCGTCGGGTATTAAAAAGATTCTAAATATAATTTGAAATAAAAATTGGCATTTCTATAATAATTAAAAGACAATCTACTATAAAATTTACTATAACAATAGTGTAATAAAATACTAGTAACAAAACTAAATAGAACGCAATGCATAAATCGTCGTATGCAACTACGAAATTTCCTATTTGCATAGAAACTGTTAATATTTAGCAGAGAGATAGCATTGTGATGTAAGATCATGTAATTCTTGTCGTGAGTTAATGAGATAGATTGCTATAACCTATCATTATGCTGTCGATCTCGTCATATAGTTGTTTGTCCATTTAATATTCTACATACCAAATGATGCACGCCGCCATTACAGGTAATTAGCATAAAAAATTAATGAACACTATTTGGCAAAACCATAATTACTTAAGAGGTCAAATAGATGTATATGTAATATTTGATTCCTCAATATATTAGTTGGTACCTAACTAAGAGACCGCTTTTAGCGATAAGGCCGCCCATTGTTTTCTCACTGTGATTATTTCTTGTAATTGTTTATATTTATAATAAGTTTACTATTGTAATCTTTTGGAGGAAACAATAAAGAGTATCTATCTATCTATATATGTATAATGATAAATGGCAGTCAAAATATATTATAGCCAACAAATTTTAACAATTTAAATTGTAATAAATTTAAAAAAGAACTGCATAAATGACTAGTAAGTAAATGTTACTATAGTGTCCAAGAATATATATAAAATAGTGATACATTATAAAAGACTGACTTTTCTGTTTTACAATCGGATTAATGTTTAAAAATTGACATAAGCATTTATCAAATGCATTGACTATTGTTTTTTATTTTAATTTGTATTGTTCTCGTTTTAATTAATTAATAATTATTATTATAATCTACAACGGGTGTTATCCCGAAAACCTTACACACAAGTCACCATACATTATGTATACAACCCTCCACATATATACTCCTCCAAAAAGCAGCAATTTTAAATACATGTCGCCTGGTCCGTAAGTTCCTATCATTGAACTGACATTCCAAAAACACTTGGCTTTTGCCCGTGTCTAAAACTACCTCATAAATAAAAATAATTATAATAATATAATCAATTAACTATATTGAAAATAATATTTAGATATAAGTAGATATAAACTATCTGATTTATATAAATATGGCTAAATATACAATTAGTTTTATTATACAATACAATAATTTTGGTTCCAGGATGCATCCTTGCGGAACTCCACACAGGGTACCCGCTGTTTCCCGGTGAGAATGAAGCGGAACAGCTTGCTTGCATCATGGAGCTGCTGGGTCCGCCGCCACCTGATCTCCTGCTGCACGCCACAAGAAAAAGACTCTTTTTTGGTATAGCATCATAACTTTATTGGTGTCAGTCGAACAAAAATTCCAAACAATGTTTTTATATAAAATTAGTAGTATAAATATTTGTAGAACAAATTATGATTTACAAAATTCACATAAATAAATTTGGTCTTATTCAATCTATCTTAGCTGAACCCTAACCAGAAATTTTTTAACTTCTCTGTAAATTATTGATGCCCATGAATTCCTCTCTTTCCGTGTCCTGGGAAGGTAGACACTTTATTTGAAAAATCAGGAGAGGGTATGATATACCTGAAGAAGGTAAAAGCCCTTAAAATTAAAAAGAAAATCACATCTTAATGAAGATTTTATAATTATTTTATTATATTTTTTTTTATACAATGTAGAATGGCAAACAAGCTGACGGCCCACCTGATGGAAAGTGATAACCGCCGCCTATAGATATGAGCAGTACCGTGGACATAACAGAGTATGAATAATTAGTAAAAAAAATAGTTAGTAGCTTTTTAAGAATTAGCATTTGAAAGTAGATTGAAATAGTTCATCCCAAAGGTTGAGTGCTAGAGAATGCTAATATACTAGCATTAAGTTCACCTTTTGTACCTTATTTTATATTAATCAATAGAGTTATTTAAATATATAAATAAACATATAGAAGGTATAAAATCTTAAATCACCAGTCTGCCCTATATTTGTCAGTGTAGTAATACCTTTACATTACCAAATTAATTTATGTAAGCATAATTACAGAGCCTATGACGAAAATGATTGAGACGAAAAATTTCATATTCTTGCCACATACGATTTATGACTTATAAAAATTTGATTGAATCACGTTGCAGATTCGAAAGGCTCACCGCGCAGTGTTACCAACTCGAAAGGTCGCAAACGAAGACCCGCGTCCAAGACCCTGGCGTCTGCCGTGAGGACTGATGACCCCGCCTTCTTGCATTTCTTGCACAGATGCCTTGAGTAAGTAATTATTATTAATCACTTAATTATTCTTTACTTTTGCCTGAAACTTCGTATATGTGACCGGAATTTGTTTTTTTAATGGGTGATAATGGAATGGCAGCTGCGCCTGTGCTATCGGTATACATTGGTAGGGCATCAGTGAAGGATGATAGTTGAGAATGACTGCAGATCAGTTAGCCCATTGTAACTAATTCAAGAATTAACCACGATAGTTTCCAGGAGGAAAAGTTTGTTGTTTCAAATGATGCCTACAACCACTTTTTGTCATCACACTGCTCACCATCGACAGAGAATTCATCCTTACACGTTTGAACTTAAATCACGTACAGTGCAGTTCCAGAGAATTTTTCTCCCACGAACACTCAGATTATGGAATGAGGTCCCTGCTGAAGTTTTCCCTAGAGATTACAATATGGAGTTCTTCAAAAAGGGTATATTAAGGTGTCTTCAGGGTCGGCAACGCGCACGTGACACCGCTAGTATTGCAGGCGTTCATAGCCTACAGTGATCGTTTACCATTAGACGGACTGTATGCTTATTTGCCTTGTTTATGGTATTAAAAAAAAAGTTGACAACCAATCTTTGATCTATTACACGCCTTTTATGATAATTTGTTGATAAAAACAAGTTGGTGAGATATGTTATTATTACTTCATCGCCATATAGACGAAACTTTACCAACTTGTAGCAATTTACGTTCACGGAAATGTATTAAGTATCGAAGGTACGTCGCTGGGCAGCAACGAATAGACGTTATGCGTAGACGCAACACAATTATGCAACTACGTGAACTCCACGTTTTCATTATATTACGGGTCATCTGTTATGCGGAATTATGTCTTATTCGAATCAAGGTTTAGCAATAAATTATAAAAAGAATTTGAAAACGTTTTTATTGCTTTTAAAATGATTTTATTAAGTGTCGTATTTTTCGTACTGTATCGTATGTTATCGTGTCTTGGCATCTCATATCTTTGCCAATTGTACAGATATTCTTCTGATCCCTTTTAAGTGATTTTTTTATTCTCGTATTGGCCGGATATTTCGCATTTCCGTAATCAAGGATGAAATCAGATTTTCAATCTTGAGTTATTTTATTTAGTTGCACTTGTTATTCGATATGTTTGAGTTTTGTCTGACAAGAAATATCTGTACGTAATTTTATTGTTATTAGAATTGACTGCAAATCTCATGACAATCTAAATGATATAAATGCAGGCACATGACTTGTATCTACAAAGTTTCTCTCTAGTATTTCATTTAGTGCTTTTCTTTGTCTTTTTGTTTAATGTTAAAATATTTATACTAATTTATTGTAGAATTAAGCACTAAATAAACATTTCTTTCTTTCTTTTAATATTTCTGCATCGAACAGGGCTGTTTAAGGTAGGGCAAAAGAACTTTTTGGTAGGGTATGGAAGCCATAATTAAATGACTTCGAGAAAGCGAATCTGTTTAATTTTCTTGTGGCCTTACATTTTAAAGTAAGGCCTTGGGCATTTTGAAGTAGGGCGTTGCCCCTCAATACTTCTTTTAATATTTCTGCGTCCAACAGGGCCGTAGCTAGACCCAAATTTAAGGTAGGGCAAATGAACCAAATTATTACCAAAAGTTATACAACCTTCCATATTAGCAATAAATCTCCGACCGCCATTTATTCCACGCACGATTTGTGACACATGTTCCATTCTAAACAAAGCATCTTCAATCAAATTATTATAATAATGCACGATATAATAATAATATGATACAATAATAGTAGTCAATCTTTGAATGTTGGCAGTCGCACGTATAGGTACCAATGGTAGCGGAATTAAACAATATAATTGTAAATAAATAATCAATGAATTAAGATAGTTTGTAAATGGGATGTAACTTTTGTTTTATGAAAGTTTTCACTGTACCATTACGATAAATACTCATGTACGAGTAAAATAAAATAATAATAAAATATTACACCTTTAAAAGGTGTCTAATAAAACTGTTACAATCAAATTGTTTAACATATACGACTTGATCGGCAGTAAACAAAATTAAACGAGTTCTTTATATACTTTCTACAAATATATACGGCAGTTATATAAAAATAGAAACTGCAATATTGATATGTTTTTATGGCGCAGAAAATGTGGATCGCTTAATATTTTAATTAGGCAAATAAATTTTGCTCTTTGATGGCGAGGACCAAAAAAAATGTTCTAGGACAGGGGTTCCCAAACTTATTTTGTCTACAGCCCACTTTGAGAATAAATTATTTTTTAGCGCCTCCATTTTTCACCCAAGCCTCTACCCATTTTTTCTGGGTCTCTTACCGCCTCCCTTTAGGCTTGAAACACTCACAAGGGGGCATTATCGCCCACTTTGGAAAAGGCTGTTCTAGGATATCACCTGAATAATAACGCCATTTAATTACAAACTGCCGGTGTTTAAGAACAAGATGCCAGATGTGCCATCTGATTCTGTATATACGGCAATGTATGAGAAACATCGATGTTTCTCAATCTGAGTCGAGTTGAGAAAACTCATCAGTTTACTGATAGAATGATGATTAAATATTAAAAGGAGATCCGTTGAAATCCTTCAAGCCACTTTCTCATTATAACAAATAAATCATCATCATCATCTGATCAGAAAACTCATCAGTTTACTGATAGAACGATGATTGAATATTAAAAGGGCTCTCAATTGAAATCCTTTAAGCCACTTTCTCATTATAACAAACAAAACATCAATGTTTCTCAATCTGAGTCGAGTTGAGAAAACTCATCAGTTTACTGATAGAACGATGATTGAATATTAAAAGGGATTTCAATTGAAATCCTTTAAGCCACTTTCTCATTATAACAAACAAATCATCATCATGTCAGCCGTTAAATGTTTACTGCTAAACATAGACCTCCTTGAGAGGTTTGCCAGTAGTTGCCAGGCTTGGCAGGAGGATTATTAACCACAGTTAGGCTTTAGTGATGTTTTAAGAGAGATGCTGTTGTTCATCCTTTAACCCGTAAATTTCCTTAGTCGTCTTTTAGGATACCAGCTGGGAAAGAAGGAGCCTATTCTATGCCGGGACCACGCGGCTATTATGAAAAACAAATATATTTTTTTTTCGCAACTTAGAATTTTTATAAAATATAAATATCGCCTATAGACATGAGCCATGAGACCATGAGTACCATGAACATAACAGAGTAATTAAACCCATGTCAAACTTGCCATTCCTGAGGACTCATGTTAATCCTCTGTAATAAATTAACATTATTTAAACTGAAACACAGCCATAAACACAGCTGCTTCACATCATTTCAAACTTTTTGTACAAATTAATATTTTATTATAATGTACGTTTACTACATATTATTGTGGATCACGTCGAAGTATTGAGTGAGATGTATTTATTAATGAGGCATAATTAGGACTATTTTATAAACTTTCTTTTTTTTATTTTTACTAATTATAATATATTTCTAATTAAATAGTTTAATATTAGAAAGCAAATTGCGAAGATTGCAAAGGTCACATACATTGCTAAATATATGAATGAGACTAAATCGTTCTTATTTTAATTTTTAAATTAAATTAAATTAACGTAAAATGCAATTGTATTTTAATTTGCATTATTTAATTTTTAAATATTTATTTTGCGTTAGTCTGGATATATAATTTGGCAAATGTGTATATAAAGATGTAATATAAATTTAATTTTTAATATGTAATGATAACTTGAATAGCATAAAATCGTATCATAATTATATTTTTTTAATTAATCAGGTGCCAAACTTAATACTACGTAGGCTATTTTAATAATTTAAATACTTTTTAATGCAAATAAACTCATTTCACTTCATTTCAAACATATTCATATTAATAATAATTGAAAAGCCTTTTATTTGCCCGATCTTTAAAAAAAAAAAGATAATTTGAAATATATTTTCATTAATTATTTTTCATAATAACATAGACTTCATAATACTTTATCGACAAGTCGATAAAATATTACTATGAATTGTAATTAACAATATAACTCTTTAATTGATTTTAGTAACATCATTTTCAACATTTATTATAACAAAAATCGACTGTAGATAAAGAATTATGTACTGTGAGCATCACAATAACAGTATAATCACGTCTAAATAAAAGATGTTCATTCAATACTGAATTATAATTGAAACTATTAACTTGTTTATGGGAAAATGACTTAAATAACTAAGAATTACAACACATTATAGCTTGCTACACGGCGAGACGAGCGCAAATTGAGAACACTTAAATAAATGTACCGTGAACATGCTAACAAAAACAAAACTTTCCCTCGAAATTCACACTTTTTTATGACAGTTTCTTCAAGTGCAACAGGCGGAACAGGAAACCATAGACTAATATTGTTGCGCGGGGCATTGTTGTCTTTGATTTGTGCATCAATAACAACAAAAGAAGCCAATAGGTGAATATTTCCTAACAGCGACGTAAAAAAATGTATTATGCTAATACAACAATTGTTCATGTCATTCAAGCTTTTTATGGCATATCTATACAATTATACCAGTAGCAGACTTTGTACAAAAGTCGTTTGCTTGGCTCTGTCCCATTCGTGTTTCTGCCGTGAAGCAGTTGTGTTTGCATGGCTGCATTTCGATTTGAAGGGTGGGAGATTTTAAGGTACAAAGGCATAACACCTGAGTTCTCAGGAATGGCAACGCACGAGGGTTATTATAAGCGACTTTGTGTACTCTATTATGTCCATGGTATTGTTCACGTATACAGGCGACGGTTACCACTTTCCATCAGGTGGGCCGACAGCTTGTTTACCATTCTAAGTTGCATAAAAACCCCCTACAATTAAGAATATTCTGTTTCTATAGAATTAAATGAAAAAATAACTAATTTTACATCACAATAACATTCTCTAAATGATATCAGTAACAAATTTAAACAATCAAAGAATTAATCGACTTCTGGTTGGGCATTAAAAAACCGTCTTTTATACAAGTCAATTA